AGGTGCTGCTGGGGGGCTACTGAGTGTTCCTGGGGCTACTGGGTGCTCCTGGGGCTACCAAGTGTTCCTGTGGGGCTACCCAGTGCTCCTGGGACTACCCAGTGCTCCTGGGACTACGAAGTGTTTCTGGGGGTACTGGGTGTTCCTGTGGGCTACTGAGTGTTCCTGTGGGGCTACCGAGTGTTCCTGTGGGCTACTGAGTGTTCCTGGGGCTACCGAGTGCTCCTGGGGCTACTGAGTGTTCCTGTGGCTACCGGGTGCTGCTGGGGGGCTACCGGGTGTTCCTGGGGCTACTGAGTGCTCCTGTGGGGCTACTGAGTCCTCCTGTGGCTACCCAGCCCTTGTGGGGCCACCATGACCTCCTGCAAGGCCACCAAGCCCTGAGGTGGAGCTCACCTGTGTGGCCACTGAGCCCTCCCATGTGGCCACCAAACCCCCCGGTGGCCATCCCGCGGTTCCCACCCGCAGGCGCTCGCCCACCTCGAGGCCTTCATCGATTTTGGCGAGGATGAGGATGTGGAGGAAGAGGTTTTGTCCCGAGGTGAGGAGGAGCTGCTGGCCCGGGGCCACCAACGGCCGCTGCCGGGGGCGGCACCGACCTGGGGGCGGCACGAATTCCGTGGTTTTTATCCCAAATTTTGGGATCGGCACAAATTCCGTGGTTTTATCCCAAATTTTGGGCTCGATTCCCGTGCCCTCTCCGGGTGTTTTTATCCCAAATCTGGAGCTCAGAACAAATTTGGTGTTTTTATCCCAAATTTGGGATCAGCACAAATTCCGTGGTTTTTATCCCAAATTTTGGGGCTTGGTTCCCACCCCCTCTCCGGGTGTTTTTATCCCAAATTTGGGATCACCACAAATTTGGTGTTTTTATCCCAAATTTCAGGGTCTGTTCCCATCCCCACTCCCGATGTTTTTATCCCGGTTTGGGCTCTGTTCCCATCCCCACTCCCGATGTTTTTATCCCAATTTCGGGCTCCCATCCCCACTCCCGATGTTTTTATCCCGGTTTCCGGCTCCCATCCCCACTCCCGATGTTTTTATCCCGGTTTGGGCTCTGTTCCCATCCCCACTCCCGATGTTTTTATCCCAATTTTGGGCTCCCATCCCCTTTCCCGATGTTTTTATCCCAATTTCGGGCTCAGTTCCCATCCCCTCTCCCGATGTTTTTATCCCAATTTCGGGCTCCCATCCCCTCTCCCGATGTTTTTATCCCAATTTCGGGCTCCCATCCCCACTCCCGATGTTTTTATCCCGGTTTCGGGCTCCCATCCCCACTCCCGATGTTTTTATCCCAATTTCGGGCTCCCATCCCCACTCCCGATGTTTTTATCCCGGTTTGGGCTCTGTTCCCATCCCCACTCCCGATGTTTTTATCCCGGTTTGGGCTCGGGCTGAGCGCTGCCCGTGTCCCGCAGTGTCCGTGTCCGTGCGGGAGCTGGAGCGGGAGATCCGGGCTCACCTGCGGGACGGGCGCCGGGGGGAGCGGCTCCGGGCCGGGGTCCGGGCGGTCATCGCCGGCCCCCCGAACGTGGGCAAGAGCAGCCTGTTCAACCTGCTCTGTGAGTGTCGAATTCCCAAAATTCCCGAGGGAATCCCGGCGGGGGGTTGGGATCATTCCCGAAATTCCCCGAGGGAATCGTTCCTGCTGGGCTGGGGAGGGGTTGGGATCATTCCCAAAATTCCCCGAGGGAATCGCTCTGAGAGGGGTTGGGATCATTCCCAAAATTCCCAAGGGAATCCCAGCCGGGGGTTGGGATCATTCCCAAAATTCCCAAGGGAATCCCAGCCGGGGGGTTGGGATCATTCCCAAAATTCCCCGAGGAAATTGTTCCTCCTGGCCCCAGCGGGGGGTTGGGATCATTCCCAAAATTCCCAAGGGAATCCCAGCCGGGGGTTGGGATCATTCCCGAAATTCCCGAGGAAATTGTTCCTCCTGGCTCCAGGGAGGGGTTGGGATCATTCCCAAAATTCCCGAGGGAATTGTTCCTGCTGGCTCCGGGAGGGGTTGGGATCATCCCCAAAATTCCCAAGGGAATCGTTCCTGCTGTCCCCAGGTCACCTACGGGTCTGGAGGGGCCAGGAAAATTCCCAAAATTCCAGAGGGAGCCATTCCAGCCCCCCCAAATCCCCTCTGGGCACTGAAACCCCCGTGATAATCCCCAAAATTCCAGAGGGAACCCTTCCAGCGTCCCCAAATCTCCTCCTGGCACCCAATCCCCCACAATAATCCCCAAAATTCCCCCAGGGAACCCTTCCAGCACCCCCAAATCCCCTCTGGGCACTGAATCCCCCACAAAAATCCCCCAGGGAACCCTTCCAGCACCCCCAAATCCCCTTTGGGCACCCAATCCCCCACGATAACCCCCCCAAATCCCCCAGGGAACCCTTCCAGCGTCCCCAAATCCCCTCAGGGCACTGAAGGATCGAGATAATCCCCAAAATTCCCCCAGGGAACCCTTCCAGTGTCCCCAAATCCCCTCTGGGCACCGAATCCCCCACAAAAATCCCCCAGGGAACCCTTCCAGTACCCCCAAATCCCCTCTGGGCACTGAAGGATCGAGATAATCCCCCCAAATCCCCCAGGGAACCCTTCCAGCACCCCCAAATCCCCTCAGGGCACCCAATCCCCCACAAAAATCCCCCAGGGAACCCTTCCAGCGCCCCCAAATCCCATTTGGGCACTGAAATCCCCGTGATAATCCCCCCAAATCCCCCAGGGAACCCTTCCAGCGCCCCCACATCCCCTCTGCGCACTCACTC